TGGGGGGGGGGGGGGGGTACAAATCTTTAGTAACTGTTTGCCTGAGATCAGATTTTCTTTTCCCATTTTTATTACCCAGGTTTCGTTTTATTTATGTATATTTTTCACTGCATTAACTAATCTTGGATTGCTCTTCTGAGAATAATTTGTGACCAAGTGTAGCATCTTATGTCACATGTCTCTTGAATTAAGGTTATTTTATTTGTTTGTGTGCTCTATTCAAATATACTTGTACATCATTCATTGCTCAAACTAAGAGAAGAAGAGAAATCCTTGTATCTGTCTGCATTTTATTTAGATACAGTGCTACAATATTGAGATAGATATTTTTCATGTTTAAAGCTGTTTTTGCAGAGATAAATTGTTCCTCTAAAATCTTTTTATTTATTTATGGTTTCCAGGAAAGCCAGTCTTTCACTTATTAGGAAGATGTTACATTATATGGAGCCTGACTTACTTGGGGAAATGACAGGGCCAGAGTTCCCTTCTCCAAACTTTGCCTCTTCCATGACAGAGGTGCTGTCTATTGTTCTCGATGCTGAAGTAAGTAATTTTTTTCCTTTTCTATATTTTCTGTCAGAGCAAGGATGTTGGAGAACAAAGGATTTGTTAGTTTTCTAGAAAGAAATTATTTTCAATAAAGATGTGAGAAAGGAATGCCCGAAATATTTTGTCTTTGTTGATAGCTCTGTAAACTTACTCCAAAAAAGGGCAGTTTTGTTCCGTTCCAAGTCAAATGACGGCATGAGTAGATTCTGATAGGATTTTTTTTTTATTACTTAGAATTATATCTGATCTGGAGCAAAATAAGCAAAATAAGTTTAAGAAATGAGAAAAGACTAGAATTCTTCAAGTGCTTCGTAGAGTCATGCATTAAGTTTATGTCTTTCAAGCATTATATTTGAAAAAGCTCGTGAGAGTTTTGTGGACCATATTCAGGTTATAATCATCAGTGTCATTCCATAACCACCGAAATTTATTTCAAGGGGTTTCCATTTCCAAATAAAGCTGTTACTGTGCACTTGCAGAACGGTGCTGATGGTATTATATTTAACTTAAACTATATTAATGCAGTTTTGGTAAAGTGTTTTTCATAATAAAGCTTTCGTGCATTAGTATGGGTGTTAAAGATCATGTAGTGAATACTGTTCTCCATGGGTACATACACTGTTTTCAATATCAGTATGTTTTTTGTGAATTCTTATGTCTCTGTCTTTCAAAAGAATTTTAAAAAATGTCTTTCATCTATGGTTGGTCCAACTTCTTTGCTGTCCTTATGCTGTTTTTATGTCTTGTCAATCCCTTTCTCCAGCATCCTCCAGCTTCCCCCCAGCATCAAATACCAGCTATCGAGTCAATATGCTTCTCTTTATATTAACTTTTTTCATTCTGTGGCCAGGAGGATGATGATGGTCATGTGATTGTCCTTCAAATCATGCAAGATCTGATGCTGAAGTGTCAAGAGATTTTCTTGGAGCACTTTGCACGACTTGGGTTATTCTCCCGTGTCTTGGCCCTAGCTGGGCCACCATTGCAGGAGGAAGAGGGGGCAAAAGCAAAAGAAGACAAAGTAAGTCTCTGTAGGATTAACCATTAATGTTGGTAAGGGGGTGATGAATGTGACTGTTGCTCACCAGCTTAACTGTCCCATGTAATGGTGAAATGTTCCATGAATTGGTCGGTGCACCGATGCACGTTAAGTTTTTTTTCAGTTGAAGATTTTGAAGTTGGCCAGTTTTTGTGTAAGATTTGTACTCTTAAATGTGAAATGGGTCTTTGTTTTATTCTATTAGCAAGATGATTGTTGGGACTAACCTGATTGGAAAAACTACTGTTGCTGTATCGATGGTCAAAGAGTGCTTCATATATGATTAGATAAAAAAGTTATTGTTCAAAGTCCAGAAAGTAAAGATGGTTGAGTTGAACCCAAATTTTATGCTTTATGGTTAAAAAAGAATAAATTTTTTTTGCAGGAGGAAGACGAGACCAACCTAGTAGATGCCACAGAGATAGTTGCTGGGCGGCCTTACCACTGGCGTGACTGGTACATTGTGCGAGGTCGTGACTGCCTGTACCTGTGGAGTGAGGGGACTGCTCTGGAGCTGAGCAATGGCAGCAATGGCTGGTTCAGATTTATTCTGGACGGGAAGCTGGCAACTATGTACTCCAGCGGAAGCCCAGAAGGGGGCTCTGATAGCACTGGTATGTGTTTTTTGTTTTTCAAATGGAATTTTTGTTTTCAGCTTGAGCTTTCCCCCCCCCCCCTCCCCCCTTTTCCACTTTTTTTGTTGTTGAAAAGACTGGACCTTTGATATGAGGAGTGGGTGGAGGGTCTTAAGACTCGTGAAACTAGATCAGAACTAGATTTGAACCTTGATGACTCAGCTTTTAGTTTGTTGTCATGCAAATTGAGCTGATAGCAAGATTTTCGTTTGAGATTGTGTTATATCATTTTCCTTTGCTGTAATGACCTTGGTTTAAGTTTACTGAGGCTATTTCCGGAAAGATGGGTTTCTGTTCAGATACTTTTAGCATGCTATTCATTTTTGTTCATGTTTGGGCCTTTAAGAATTGTTTTTCGCTTATTGTTAATTTGATAATTTTATGCATTGCTTTGTGTTTTTTTAAATATAATTTTGACATTGTTGTGTTGTTTATGTTTTTCATTCAGTTTGTACTTTAGTTTCTTTTTTGTTTTGTTTTAAAAAGCTATGTTGTCCTTTTCAACGGTTATTCTGTTTAACTTAGCCTTGGTAAAGATTTGGTTTCAATGTTTGATGCACATTTGGTTTGTTTCTCAGTTTCCCTCAAAATGCATTTTTTTGTTGTTTTTTTTCCGTTATTGCATGTTTTTTTTTTTTTATATACATATCGAACGTCGGCTGACAAGAGGGATTAAGTATCATCATTGAGTAGGTGATAGCTTTGAAGGATGTTTTTATTGTGTATACATGAATAAAATTCTTTTTCTTACTACATTCAAGGTATTGTTGTTCCAGAAAATCGTGGTGAGTTCCTTGATAAACTCCAAAGGGCTAGGAGTCAGATCAAAACAGGTTCTCCCAGCCTGCCTGTTCTCTCTAAGGCAAGCCCAGCTCGCCTCGTGGTGGGCAACTGGACCCTGTCCTGCAAGAAAGATGGAGAGCTGCAAATACAAAACACTGATGGACAGCAGGTTTGTTGATGTTTATTTGCCCCACCCCCATTTCTGTTTTAAAGCTTAAAATGTGGGTGGTTAGCAGGTGTTGTGGTGTGGTTTGCTCCTTTTTTCCAATCAAATGTCTGTCGTCCTTATCTCTCCTCTTTCTTTTTTGTGTTTGTTACTCCCTTGTGTCACCTTTAATCTTGAGCACTTAGTGATCTTATTGTGTTGCAAGTGCTGTAAAACTTACTAAAACTAAAACTTGAAACTGGGTTAAAGGTTCTACAATTTTCTATGTTCTGTAGCTAACAGTGGATTGCTTTCTAGAATTATGTCATGATTTTTTTCTCTTCTTAGTGTGAATCACTAAACAGGAAATCATTTGTTTGAGAGATTTATAAAAAAAACCCCAAAACTGGCACATTTTGTCTTACTATAGCTTGTTAAATCCCATTACGTTACTGAAGTACTCTTTGAGGTTTCAATTTCATTTTTTCTGTTTCAGGCTACGATTCTACGAGAGGATCTCATGGGCTTTGTGTTTGAATCAAACCGAGGCACAAGACACTCATTTACAGCTGAGACCACCCTTGGACAGGAATTCTCTGTTGGCTGGGGTGGAAAGAAAAGTCGGAAACTCAAATCTAAGAATGCAATGCGTGATAAGGTTTGTTAAAGTTTGTTTCGATTTTTTTAAACTCCAGCTTTTTAAAAAATCAATGGCTGAAATATTTGCATATTTTCCATATATATATTTGCTAATCTAACTGCTTGAAGTGTTGACCATTCTTGTGTGTAGATAAAAACTCTAACGTGAAAATTAGTCTGAATTAAGGGTCAACAGAAGTGTTTATATATATAATAATCAAAGTTTATTTTTAGGGATAGAAATATAAAATGAGTGAAAAAGAATGTAAGCCAGAAACTTACTGTGAAAATACACTTACAAAATGTCAATCCTGCTGCTGCCTGAACTATTGTCTAATGTACCTATTTTGTCTTGTATGGCAGGTTCGTAACACTGCCAGAGAACTGTATGACGAGTACTTCAAGGCAGCAGAGGCCAAACCTCGGGGTGTTGTCTCCAAACTTTGTGCAATAGTTCAGCAGCTGGAGTCTGCATTTGCTCGACAGCTGAGCCAAATCAAGGTAAGTGAAAAAAAAAATTCCTTTATGCTTTATGACATGTTGAGAGACAATTGTATTATTTTTTAAATTATTTTACTTTTGTTTCCCTGGGTTAAAAAAAGATGCTTTAGGTACTGAATAAGTGCCTATGAAAAAGAGTTGGGCCAAATGTTGTGAAAATACTTTTTTTTGGTCAACATGAGATGCAATTTGTACTTTTAATAATGTCTGCTTCTGTCACTTGAGAATTTTTGTATGGGTCGCTAGGATCTAGTCAAAATTGTGTGAAGTTCTTAAGATTATATCGTAATGTGCTTGGAATGGGTTTGTCTTATTGGTTAAAAAGATCTTGAATGCATCAAACTTATGTGAAAGAACGATTGATGGAAACATAAAGATGTCTAATAATTGTCTGTAAAAAAATTTTTTTTGTGAGGTTGTTTTAAAATATTTACTTTGATTTGTAGAAAGCAGAAAGAAAAAAGCAAAATGTTAAGTACTTCTTTTTTTTTCCTCTTTCATCAGCCTTCAGATGAAGAAGTTTCGTGGTGCCAAGAAATGAGAAGTGCCTTGGAGGAACTAGTTGTGCTGCTGAAAGATGAGCACACCATTTCCTCCTTTGAGCTGTACAACAGTGGATTGGTACAGACGTTGCTGAGTATTTTGAGTAGTGTGAGTAATTTTTTTGTCTTGTTTTTTTTTCATTTTGTGAGTTTGACTAAATGGGCTGTGTGGCCATACTGTTTAGGGATTTGTCCTTAACCCATGTCATCACTTTTGAAAAGTGTCTCTTTGAATTTGTGTTTTGGTCCTTTCGTCCTTTGTGACCATAACAATACTTAATGCTGTATTCTTCTCTCCTCATTCATAACTTTACCCGGAACTGTGGTTGAGTCACTTTTCTTCCGGTTTAAAAAAAAAAGTAATCTTAACATGGGTGATGTAAGTGAATAATTAGAAGTAAAGGGTTCTAGTAGTTGTGTTTGTTGAGCAGTGTACTTTATTTGTAAAGACTAAGCTGATGCACAGTCGTTTCTTCTTTTTATAGTCAAATCATATGCAGTAGTTGATGTTTGTGTAATTGCAAAACATTTAAATGCTCTTTTTTTTTATTTGTCTTTTGCAGTCTTCTGATGAATGCTCGTTGAAAGAATCAAAGAAACAGATGAGAGGACGAATCAACATCTTCAAGAGTGTGTTCCATGATCACGAGCGTGAGAAGTAAGAAACAATTCCCCCTCTTTTGTATTTAATATGAGAAAAGTAGTTTGGTGATGGATTAGAACAGAAAGCTATGTTCTCTGGACCTTGCTTCTTTCTGATTCACAGTGACATGTTGTTGAATGTCATACTTGAGAAGTTTTCAGTTTTTGTGCTATACTTTTCTTGTCTTCTGCAATGTCTTTTTGTTTTGGAAAAGTACTAAGAAATATATGAAAGTTAATCTCATATTTCAGAGTTTTTTTTTAGGTGACTTTATTAGATGTACTGCAGGAGAAAACTGGCTGACAATTTTTATAACGGAAAGAGTTTGACATGATATTTTGCATTGATACAAGTATTTCAATATTGTTCTTTTATTAATAACTATCTTTATGTTTTTTCTACTGTACGAAGTTCATTCTTTGGAAGAGGGCTGTTACTGGGTGTTGGTTTGCTTATAGTTCGGTCAGTAAATCCAAATATGGAAAAGGAAAATCTTCTGAATAATTTATATTTATTTATTGCCATGTTCTCAGTTTCACAGACGATGGGTAAGAAATGTTTTGATTGTTGTCTTTGTTAAAAAAAAAATTTTCTTTTCGCCTTGCATGTAAAGGAATTATTTCGGTTCTACCATTGTCCTGTAAACTTTATAATGAAGTCACAATGCATGATATAATTTCATTAACTTCATTTATCATGTACAGTATGTAGGCCAAATGAAATCACAACACAGATTTGTACTGGGTCATTTCTGTCTGTATTCTCTCTTGGCCCCCACCTCAATATGATTGTGTTTGTATCTGTGTTGTTTTAAATGAAGTCAGACGGGGACCTCAATGCACTTGCTTAGGCTCTTTCACGTGTGGTTGGGCTTGCATGCTCCTCCCGACTTTCAGCAAAACTCAGACTAAATGAAGCAACGTGTCACAGTAACATTACTCTCCTGAATGAAGGTATAACAATCAGGAACAGCATTGACAAGGGACAGAGTCATGGAGATGACTTTCACAGAATAGAAACATGAGAAAAAAATTTCTATTAGATCTGTTTCTATTTGATGGCTTAAATTCTTTTCATGAAGCAGTTTTTTTCTAACACTTCTTGTATTATGCACTAACTGTAGGTTTACTAAGCTTATAGATGTTGTATAGGGTACCAAGCATGTATTTCTTATTTTTCAAGTTGTTCTTGAATACATTTTATGTAAAAGAAACATAAAAATGTAGGTGGGTTTTGTTGGTTTGTTGTTATTGTCGTTTTTTGTTGTTTTTGTTTTGTTTTATTGAAGAGATCATTGTCTTGCAGTGTCTTTGTTGTGTTTCAAAGAATCACAACCCATTTCTAGGGGGGCAAGAGTTGCTGTTTGAATATTGGTTCAAAAGATTTTTTTTAGTATCTGGACTATTTTCATTATAGAGATAGGACGGATCTGTTACTAATTTTGTCATGTTGCCTTGCTTTATTCACTGGGGAATATGTGTGCTTGTTAGTTTGTATTGCATCTTTTCAGTTCTGTATACTTTATACTTGACCTAATCTTTAGCAATGAACTTTGATTTTTAAAAATTCGTTTGGAAACCGTATCCTTTAATTTCTATAGATCCTCTCATTTTTAGTGAAATTCAAGAAAATGGTGACGAATATGTGTAGAAGGAACATGGTGTAAAATTATTCTTTTTGTATGGATTTGAATGTACAGGTGTTGCTTAACTTTTTATTATGCCATTTCTGAATAGAAATAGCAGAAATTAAGAATAACATCTCCATATTCAATGTATGTTAATGAAGGTCAGTAGCATGGTGAGTCTCATCAGTACAAGTAGACCAAGAGTTGAATTTAGGGGAAACGCCCTATGGAGTGAAAGGTAATAAAAATGCCCATCACTTATCAACGGGTGCTTCCCTTCTCCCGGTGGAATGGCACTCTTGAACATTTGTGTGCTGATCTTTGGCTTCTTTTCTAACCTTTTCCTTCTTTATTATTCCAAGTAGCCAAATTCCCAATGAAAATTTGGTTTGTTGTTGAGCTCATAGAAAGATGACCACTGATGAAGGTAGAGGGTTGTTATGGGGTCTTAATCCTTGGGATCACTCACTATAAAAATAATTGACCGCTTATTATAAAATAGTGAATGCGTGGTAATTTTTATTAATTTAAAAATATTTTTTATTGCTCACAAATTTTCCTACATCTCAACAAACATTAGTATGTTTTTCCATGTTCCTAATAGTTTCTTTGTTGTTCATTTTTCAAATGTTGCTTTTCCTCAGAACTATCAGTCCAGCGGTACAACTGACCAGAAAGCTCATCTCTGCCCTGGAAGCCATTGAGAAGCTGCCAGTGTATTCTTATGATCTCACTGGTTCAGGCTATGGCTTGCAGGTACCATACGTATGTCCCCTCCTTCTTTCACGCTCTATGAATTACAGAAAGTTTTGAACTACTGTCGTCTGTTCAGCATAACATTTTAAGGTTGATAAAAACTTTTAAAGTACAACTTAAATTTTTGGTTGTGTTTTTTAAACAGGCAGTTTCTGCACTTTACTTTCAGTGTACAAAGATACATTAGGTTGCATTGCAGGTGTTTTGTTAATCAAGTCAAATTAAGGTTTTGAAGACAATGTTGGAAAATTTGTGTCTATGTCTATGATTTTTGTTGAATTAAAAAAAAAAAATTATTGAATTGATCAAATGTTCCGTGCTGCAAAGTAAAGTAATGTAAGATACATTTTATCGAAGCAATTACCCATCACTCTAATCCTTTTACAGCTCTGCCTCGTCATATCATTGCAAGGGGGGGACAGTGGAAAAGTGTTAATTTTGCATGTTGAGATTTTATATATTTGTTCATTCTTAATTTCTCAAGTACATATGTCGTGTCTGCACATCCAGTGAATAACTGCTCTTTCCTTACCTCTTCCGAAGCCAACTTCAATTTTTGTTGTAGCCTGTTAACAGGAAGGGCATAGGTGAGCTGGAATGGAGCTATGAGATGGTGAAGGTTTGGGGTCCACTCGGGAGAAGCGTTAAAATTTTTTAGGACTCTCACCTAAGTCTTTCCCCTTTATCTGCTCTGTGTGTTCAGATCCTGACAAGAAGACTACGCCTGAGATTAGAAAAAGCCCAGGGTGAAAACACTCTGATTGACAGGACAGACAGATGCCTCAAGATTGAACCGTTGACCTCCGTAGCAGATCTGGAACGCTACCTGCTCAAAATGGTGAGTACTGGAATTTTTTGGAGAAAAACGCCATTTGTGAGTTTTGCATTATAGTATGCATCGATGTTTTTCAGGAAAAAAATGTGCAGGCTTTTCTGTTCCTGCTGTGGATGGTTACATTTCCAGAGTGTACTTCTTCTTACTAATTTAAAAAAAAAGGAGGGTATAATTCTTTCTGTCTGGAAAGATTCCAGAGTCGGTGGCAGTTCTGTATATATAGTGTTGAGGAGAGGGAAAAGAAAATGGCAACTACAACCTTCAAGGTCTTATGACATATTATGAAGAAAATATTTTGCATGAATTTAATTTTTCACAGTTTATTTTGTGGTTTACATTTGCACTGCTTGTCTTCATTATTAATGCTGATGATTTGTGAGAGTTATTTCTTTTTCTCTTCAAAGGTTGCAAAACAGTGGTATGATTTTGATCGTCAAACCTTCACATTTGTCAAAAAATTGAAGGAGCCGGGAACTCGCATTACATTTGCTCATCAGAACGACTTTGATGAAAATGGACTTTTGTATTGGATTGGCACAAATGGAAAGTAAGTGTGCAAAGGAAATGTATTCTACTGGACTATTGAATGTAGATTAGGTTCAATAATTTTTAGAGCTCATAACTTTTCTTGCAATTTTAAAAATTTCTGAACAGTTGTCTTAGAGTAAAACAACTCCTTTATATTTTTTATTTTAGTTTTTGAAACTGCATTGTATCATAATTCTTAAGATTCTAGGAATGACTAAAGCAAACATTTTTCTTTTAATTTCAAGAACTTCCTATGAATGGGTGAATCCTGGCCAGTACGGACTGGTGGTTGTGACGTCTTCTGAGGGCCGTAGTTTGCCGTATGGGAAGCTGGAGGACATCCTGAGCCGCGACAGTGCTGCTCTCAATTGCCACACAAATGATGACAAGTTAGTGTGTTTTGTTGTATTTGTGATGTTATGTGGAGCAGAAGTTAAAAAAGTGTTGCTTCACATTAGGTATGTCTGAATTGTTGTTTTCAACTTACAATATAATCAACTTTAACACTTTTAGAAATTTGTGAGAAATAAAACAACTCCTCAAGGTAGACTGGTGAAACGGTTTCAATCGTGACTGTTGCTGGCTTGAATGGCATGAAGTTTGTGCCCAAAGAATTGATTGATGCTTTGCAGATCATGTCATAGTTAATTTGGAAATATTTTATATAGGTGTAGGCAAAATTTTAGAATAGATACTTACGCTGCAAAATTTAATTTGTTTGAGATAATAGTCAAATATTTTTTTTTGGCCACTTTGCTCACTGAAAATATTTCTGGTTTCATCAGGAAAGCTTGGTTTGCCATTGACCTGGGAGTCTGGTTGATTCCATCAAGCTACACACTCAGACATGCCAGGGGTTATGGAAAGTAAGTATTGATGAATGTAATGTTTCGCTTGCAACTGAAATAATGTTTTCACTCTAACAGAACTTTGGTCTTAAAAATCTATTGTATTGTCAAATTTGGGAGATGTTCAAGTTAATTTCTCCTATCTTTTAAATCAACACTATATTGAATTCAGTGGTGAGCAAATGCTACTGCAGTTCTTAGTTTTAGTAGATTTAGTTTTAGTAGAGCTTTTACGGCGCTCGCAACTGCATAAGGTAATATGAGTGCTGGAAGATTAGATGTGTTACAAGAGAGTAACAAACACCACAAAAAAGAAGGACGGGAGATAAAGACGATAGATGTTTGATAGGAAAGAAGAAACAGAGTACACCAGAGAACCCGCCAACCACCCACTTACTGCAGTTCAAGAATATGCATCTTTAATTAAAGTGAATAGTGTCCTCCGCACTAACGTGTTTAGAAACTCATTGATAGTTTTGGTGTTCTCAAATAAGTCTTAATTAGCTTTATGCAGTGGGTTGTTTTGTAGGTACTGTGGTGTAGTGAGTTCCTCCTTCTTTTCAGTGTCATAATACCTTCATCTGTTCCTGCAAAAATGTTGTCATTATACTGGTGTACTGTAAACTTCCAATTCAGCAACATTTTTATAATTTAGTGTTGGGGCATAGAATGATTTTCATATCTATTGCAGGTGAATAGTGGACGCTAGAGTGTGGTCTGCTCAATCTTCTTCTTGTCGGTATCTTTTTGTTCTATTCATATCCCGTGATAACGTGGCTGTTACATTGCCAACTGGGGCTGTGCATTGTGGGTGGTTGGGGTGCTCCCTGGTGGAATCTACTTCTTTGTTATCACACTAGGTTTCTGTCTGTCTATAATGTTCTCTGAGGCTTAATTCCCAGCAGTTTTACATATTTTGACTTTGTCAATTGTGTCTCAGGAGTCCTCCATACCCTCTAGCCTCCAACAATCTATCTGCTCCAGATAGACATTATATACCAACGGAAAGGGGATTGGATGGTCTTTCAGACCTAGCCAAAAGATTTCATTTTTTGTCAAGTTGTTACTAAAAATTACACCACCAACCCCCCCTCCCTTAGAAATCACACTTTCCCAACAATCACAAAGAAGGAAAAAAATTGGTTAAGAATTTACATTTATTTCATAAAAAAGTGCCTTCAATTCTGCATATTATGTGCTAAAGACACACCATTCTGTTGGAAAATTAAAAAAATGAAGGCCGTTCCAGTATATCCTACAATTCCCAGTTATTGCCCCTGAAGTTGGAAATTTCATATCATGACTTCTTGCTCTTAAGCCTCCTGCAATAATCTATATATTCCAGATTTACATATTATATACTAATGGAAAGGGAATTGGATGAGTTTTCAGACGAAGCCAATAGATTTCATATTTGTCAAGCTCTCTTGAGATGTGACCTATTTTTCTTGTTACTAAAAATTAATGCAGAAACAAAAATTAGACTTCCCGACAATCACAAAGAAGGAAAAAAAAAAGTGTTTTACCATTTAGAGTTTACATTCATTTGATAAAAAAGTCCATTCAATTCTGCACGTAATGTTTCAAAGACACTTCAATCAGAAAATAAACGAATGTGCATTCTACATATTCTCTGAATATTTCACTTCTTGACAATATCATCAGCAAAACAACACCAAATTACTCAGAATGTAATACAATGATACAAAGTGATAAAGTTATCACGCTCCACCCCCTTTGAAACAAGCAATTTGCTAAAAACGAGACAGCGGCATCCAATGAATAAAACTAATTGTTCAAAAGGATCACCAAATGTGGCAACGCCAGTCTACCCCATCACATGTTTATCTACAAAACAATTTCTCTTCTGGCTAAAACAAAAAGTCTTCAAACCAATAAAGGTCATCAGGGGTCAGCTCAGTCCACGTCTTGTACAATAACGCCTTTTCGGCACCTTGCATAGAATTCTGTATACTGATTGATGGGAGCTCTCGTGGCCTAGAGGTTAAGGTGTTGGGAGGTGCAGACCTTGTGCTTGGTCACATAGAAAGCGCAGTGAAGGTTATGGGGATGCCCTGTCCTTGCCATGAGTAGCATTGGTGGTGGTAGATACTGTATCAGGCTCAGGTTGTCGGTGGTCACTGCTGGAATAATACAGACAACAAAATCCATACATTTTCAGCTTGTAAGTATTGAACTACATTACTTTGATTAGTTTAGACTTACAACTGCACACATAAAACTACAGGGAAGAAATAAATGACAATGCACTTGTGATTAGTTCCTGAACTCGCATTACGTCATTAACCGGCTGATGTAAACAACTCCTTATCAACCTGTGCTGCGTGTAATACATTTTTTAAAGAAATACATATCCACATCGAATATTACAAAATCAAGAGTAAGAGGTCAATTTCAATAAATATTTGTTTTAAAATAGTTTTTTTAAAATGGCTGTGATATTTTTCATTAAGTTGAACTTGTTAGATCTGCACACTGATAGCATGGATAAAGAAACTTTCCTACTTTCGGACTCACTCCTCGCGCATAGAGGAGGTTCATATTCTTCGTTCTCGCCGGATTACACTTCATTGGGGGGGGGGGGGGGGAGGGGGGGGGGGCTATTCGTCAAAATATTCACCGTAGCACAGCTGTCATTTAGATTGATGTCAGAGTCTTCTGATTCCATTTTAACTGCTTTTTCGACTGTCTTCTGAGTGCCCCTGAGCTCCGCAACAACATGAAAAATTCAAATTGGCGGATGCAGCGCAGAAATTGCGCTTTTGAGTCGCGTACATTCAGAGCGAAAATTTTATTATGATACCATCAATTTTAATACTAATTTTATGGGTTTTTAAAAAGTTAATTTAGTCATTTTTATTTCATAAAAATACCTTACCGTACTTACGCAGTCTTATATTTATAAAAGTGAATACATTTTACAGGCGAAAAACCACAACAATTGCTATTGTATTTATTTATATGAAATTCTAATGCATGAACTGCTGGGAGTTAAGTGTTTTTTATGTGGATATGCCCATCTTGTTCTCAAAAAGTCCAACTGTGATCCAAGTCTACCACGGTTTGATGGTTTCAGGTCAGCCCTGCGTAATTGGCACTTCCAGATGTCCAAGGATGGTGTCACCTGGCAGACTCTCTACTCCCATGAAGGAGACACGTCACTCAACGAGCCGGGGTAAGTTGGTCATCAAAGAAAGCTGTTTTGTTTTCCTGAGTTGCCTGAGTGACATTCTCAGTCTGTAGACCTAGTATGTGGCGTCGGTGGCCTAGTGGTTAGGCTCTCGGACTCGCTACCGTATGGTCGTGGGTTCGAATCCCGTCAAGGGCCTGACGTTGTGTCCTTGGGAAAGGCACTTTACACGAATTTCCTCACTTCACCCAGGTGGGAATGGGTACCCGGCTATAGACAGCGAAAGATCTTGTCAGTTTGTTGGTGTTTGAGCGCTTAATCGGCTGCTTGCACTGTATGCTTCCCGGGAAGCTGAGAATGTTTCTGAGTGTTCTATGGTCTGCTGGGGTAATAATATAGTGTAAAGCGCATAGAGCCTGCTGTTGAGCGGAGATATGCGCTATACAAATGCTATTTATTATTATTATTATTATTATTATTATGTGCAACAGTTCAAGATGCTTGTTCTTTCAACAATCATCCCGTCAGTTATTTGTCTGTCCTTCAAGTGCAATGTTGATGTTTGCTCATAACCCTGCTCAATGCCAAATTTCCTCTTTGAAAGTAATGCACATTGAGCATATTTTTAGAAAATGAAAATGCATAGCATAAATGCTATTTACTATTATTATTATTGTACGTTATTCTTCATAACAAATTAAATAAAATAACATAGGGGGGGGGGGGGGGGGGGGGGGGTCAAGGATTGAAGGGATGGGTGTTCTCAGTTCTTTGTATGGGCTTGCTCTTTGTCTCCAGATCAACAGCTTCGTGGCCTGTAGATGCCCCGAGTGAGGAGAAGCAAGGCTGGAGACATGTGCGTTTGCATCAAACAGGGAAGAATGCAAGTGGACAAACGCACTATGTCTCACTGTCTGGCTTTGAGATCTATGGAACCGTCACGGGAGTCTGTGATGATATTGGTATGTAAAGTGTTGAAAATTTGTTTGCATTATCATTTCTTTTTTGTGTGAATTGTATTCATTTGGTGACTATTTCTTTTTGCAAATGCTTATTATATTGTTTGTGTAGGTTCTGTCATAATAAATGGAATATGGTTGTGATAAATGTTTGCTGAAAGATCACTCGTTTAGGCTCAAAATGTAATTCACCTCAGCTTAAATCTAAGGATTCAGTTATGCTAAATAGATCTCTCTTAACATTGTGATCCTACTTGTGTAAATCAAGCTGTGTATGTGGTGTGGTAAAATGTTAAAAAGATGTGTACTGAAATCATTATACTGTGTATCATCCTTTGTCTGACCACTACTTAGAAAAGATTCTTTGTAATTTAGGGCGGGGAGGCAGTCTTGCTTGTTTTGTTAGAATTCAGGTTGATTAGTAGTTACATGTTCACCCTAAAGAATCTGTTTTTGGCTGGTGTCTCTGTTGTTTCTGTCTGCCTGCCTATCCTGGTATGTCCCAGCATACTAAATGACCATAAGCTTGTCTTTCTCTTGAATAAACCAAGGAACTGCTGCTTTTTCTTTCCTCATCCTATCGTCATTTTTCCTCTACTTCTTTTGTTTGTTTGTCACTCTCTTGTGAACTGCTTTTTCTGGGGTGCCTTGATAGTCGCAACTGACTTTGTGCTGTTGAGGCTAGAGAGGTGAGCAGAGTAAGCCTGATTCCCCATTTGGACTTCTCTGTTGACATCCACCCTTTGGCGCTCATATGGCCTTATGCAGTTGCAAGCACAGTAAAACCTTGCTGAAGACTTACAAACCAAGATTTTTTCCTCTCATCAGGCAAAGCGGCCAGAGAAGCAGAGGCCAACCTGCGTCGTCAGCGGCGCGTGCTGCGTACCCACGTCCTGAAGCAGATGATGCCTGGGGCACGCGTGGTGCGCGGCATGGACTGGAAATGGCGGGACCAGGACGGAAATCCTCCAGGAGAAGGGACTGTCACTGGGGAGTTGCACAATGGTCAGTGTGTGTGTGTGTGCGTGTACGCGCGCATGCGCGCGAGTGTGTGTTTGAGTGAGTGAGTGAGTGAGTGAGTGAGTGAGTGAGTGAGTGAGTGAGTGAGTGAGTGTGTGTGTGTGTGTGAGGTGGGGGGGGGAGAATATTCTGATATTGTGATAAGTGCCTGATTTTCCTGAATTTGTTTTCTTTACTTCTTGATATATGGAAAGTCTGTATATTAGTTACATAAGAAAGTATGACCTGAGGGATGAATGCGGATCTGATTCCTCATGAATTATTGGAAAAGAAGTCTATCCTTGGAGATAAGAATGTTGGACTTTGCTGCTAACAGGGAGACCAGTTAAGGGCAACTGTTGGCATAGGAGTAGGGAACTTTGTTATAGGGGAAAGTTAGAATCTCTTGCTCTAAGGAGATATGAACTGATATCTGATGTGTTCAACAGCTGGCATCACGTGATTTGTAAAACTCCCTGGTTGTGACTTGGTATGAGCTTAGTTGTGACTTTGACATAGGCAGCAGTGAAAGAGACGATGCACAGACACAGGACAGTTGAAACAGTGGCTTGTGACTAAGGCAAGAAACAACAAAGGCTTTAAGGTTGTGCTGATTAGGGGGATAGACCTTAATAACTTCATTGCTGTCTCAAAACTGCCTCAAAGCCTTTAAAAATAAACTGATTGCATTTAAATGTGAATCATTGCTAGTGAAATTTCTCCCCACTTGATTAGTCGTTTACAATCGTCCACTTCACTATCTCAACTTACCTTTCCCTTCCCTATGCTCAACCAGTCTTCTCCATAAGGCAGATTGTAGAGTTTATGGTTAAGAACTGTCCAAAGTGGAATTGGTTTTTATTTTCTTCTGATTCAGCTTTGCACAGCTTGGGCTGTATTGTAAATCCAGCTCTGTTTTCAGTTGTGTTTTGGTTTTCAAGTTTTCTCCTCTAAATATTATTCAGGTTGGGTTGACGTGAAGTGGGATGCCGGTGGCTCGAATTCGTATCGTATGGGTGCAGAGGGCAAGTTTGACCTGGCACTGGGGCCATCTCACGACCCGGACAAGCTAAGGTTCGCCAAACCTGAAGCTGTTGCACCGCCGTCATCCAGCAAGAATAAGAATGCTGTGGCTTCAGGTCTCACCCCTGCCTCTGAGAAAGTGAAGGTGATTGTTGTTGGATTTTCTTTTTAAAAAAAATAATGAGTGACCCCTTATTAATTTAATGTGTCTTCCTGGAGAGGGTATATAGTATAAAAATAATTTAAATTAAAAGGAATCTTCCTTGACCTGAAGCAACTAACAAAAAACAGGTAAACTAAAATATTATGTCAGATAAAGTAGGTTTTTTTGTTTGTTCAGGGATATATTGTTATTAGATTTTGATTTGTGGTGCTTTCATTGCTGAGCTAGTAATGGCGATCCTGTTAGACTTCATTTTAGTCGTGTAGCTGCTTTGCTGTGCAGTAAGTGTTTTTTCACTCTGTCTAGTTTGTGTTTTAACCGTTTTTTTACTCTGAGCATGACGTGACAATTATTATTGATGAGTTCCTTTTTATGTCAGACTTAAAGTGTGTGAATCTGTCATGTTTATTAGGTTGGCGTGCTGACCAGTCGAAAGAGTAGCTCCACCCCTAGCCTGAGTGATGTCATGGATTCTCGTGCGTCAGTTGCAAGCACTGATCAAGCTTCCTCAGCTGAGAACCTTACCTCTAGTATTAAAGCAGTAAGTATGAGGCTTGGATGGAATATGTAGGGTTTGTTTAAGATTTCACTTTTTTTTGCGTTTTGAAAACCTTTTGAAAGGAACCTCAAAAGGGTTTTTGCTTTATGTAATGATTATAGATTCCACTTTTTAGCTTTGACTTGATTGTTAAGTTTGTTGAATCCTGTCAATATTTTATATCTAGGAAGGTGAGGGCAGTATACAAAGCAGCTCTCTTCTGGTTACATGGCATTTAATTCACTGTGGAGACAGAATCATTGGCAAAAATAAACAAAAGTGAATTCTTTTACTCTGATTGTTTGTACACACTTCTGATCAAATTGAATCTTGTTTACTTCATTTGATGAATGCAACCCATCTGTTCATTGTTTTTTTTTAATGACGTTTTTCACGGTTTACTTCATTGCAGTGACCAATTATTGAAGAAATGGATGAATGGGATTTACTCTCAGTATCAAATTGATTCGTGTTGATCTTTTTACTTTGTAAAAAGTGATAATGTTTATCAAAATGGTTTTTGTTTCTGAAGGCTGCTGAAAATGTGGCGGAGAGTGTCGTGAACCTGGCAAGTTCAGAGGCCATCGTCATGGTGATGGTGGACAACGCTGACGAGGAAGTGACCACTCCGAGTGGGTCTACCCAGGCCATCAGCACCTTGGGAGGTGGAGCCACTGGCGGAGTAGAGTTGGCGGCCATCCCTGGACCGAGCGGCCTAGGGGCCACCTCGCTGAGTGGGGCCATCTCCACCTCTGTGTCGGCCACACCAGTCTCCAGCACCAGCACCAGCAGCAGCAGCAACGCGGGTCTAACGGGCCTGGCAGGCAGCAGTGAGCCCATGGTGGTGGTGCACCGCGGCAAGGAGGATGTGGGACTGGGAGACTATGGGGGCCTCGACAACCTTGCCTCGGACCTGGCTCTGGGCCTGGATGTGGGCTCCTTGACGGAGACCCTTAGGGGTGCCGAAGGAGGAGTCAAGGTTAGCTATACCGCCTGCGAGAACAGAAAACAAAACTTCTGTTATTGTAAGGGCTTTGTTCAGGATTCATGTGGCTGAGATTTAATAAGTTTTTATTCTTTCATTCAGTTGTCTTCTTCATCATTCTTCAGCTTGATATAGGGTAGAGAACTGAAGTCCAAATTATTTGTAATTTTTGTCTTATTTTCATCCTAGTATATAGGCCTAATCGAATGCCTTTCAGGCTTCTATTTATCCTTCAGTCGGGTCTAGTCTTATCAAAACATTGACCATGGAGGCGCACCTAGCTCTAATATAAGCGACAAGTCAATGGTTCAACTATGATCATTATCACTGTGATGCAGATGATGCCGTTTCAAATCTCCAAAAGGGGGTATTCTTGACTTGTTTGTTGGGGAGTTTTCGAGGATTTCTACCCACTTACCTTGGTCGTATAGGAAGTGAATGTTTAATTTAAAGGTTTCAGTGTGGAAAAATCTTAGTGTTGATAGGTAGCATTAATCTCCTACCATACCTAGTACCAATACAAGACTAAGAAAACCTTCATTTAACCCATGCCATACTGCACACTAATACAAAGACTACCCAAACCTTCCAGGAGCATGTGCAGAACCTGCAGAACACGCGGGACTCGCGGGACAAAGCGGCCAAGAGTGAGGCCAGGAAGGCCACCAGCAGCTCGGAGGACAGCACCCGGGGCTCCCCCACCAACTCCATGAGTGCCAGCGAGCCCAACCTGCCCACCAGCCTAGTGGACCCCACTGCCAGCCTGCTTGACTCCTTCGCGGCCGTGGCACGCCGCAACATTACCGCCCCTCATGGCAGTAATGCTGTCCGCAACACACATGCCAACAGTCTAGTACGACTGGCCTTAGCTAACTCTCCAAGTGAGTAAAGACTTATTTTAGAACCATTATGCTTATATAAATATGAAATGTGAAAAGTCTATATCTATATTGCTTTTTGCTTTTGTATTTTCATAACACATATTTGATGTAATTGTACAAAGGTAAATGTAAACCTTTGTTTGAATTTCCACTTTTTTCATTCTTTAGATGAAATAAGGTTTTCTTTAAAAAAAAGTTGGTGGTCAATGTTACACTGTCATGTTCATGCTGAGGTTTTTATGTCAGAAAAGCTCTAGAGAGAATGTAGTTCTTATTTTGTCTTCATGCTAAAGTAGTTTGAAAAAAACTATGCCAACATCAGCTCACATGATGAAGCTATGGTAGCCGTACAGATACCTGGTGACGATTGCCATACATTTCGTTAATGGCACCATTCAAGATCTACCAAACATGATTTCCATCACTAAACAATGTTTTTATGAAATCAAAAAGTGGATGACAGTAAACAAATTGAAACTAAACGAAGAAAAGACAGACATCATTCTTATAAAAAATCCACGATTAAATAAAGATCTGGAAAGTGTCAACTTTGATTTATATGGGCATATGACATCTAGTAAAGAAGTTGTCAGGAATCTCGGTGTATATATTGACCACCACTTATCAATGGGCTCGTTTGTAGGATCTCTGTCCAAATCCCTTTATTTTCAGCTGAGAAGGATAGGCCTAGTTCGAAAGTACTTTAGCGAAGAGACCACAAAAACACTGGTAACATCTCTTATCCTATCTAGATTAGACTATTGTAACTCACTCCTGGCAGGTCTGAACAACAAATATTTGAATCGTTTACAAGTAATTCAAAACAATGCCGCTAGACTGATAACAAGATCTAAAAAACGAGACCATGTCACTCCATTATTAAAAGAACTGCATTGGCTCCCTGTAAAAGAACGAATAATATTTAAAATCTGCGTCATGTGTTTCAAATGTGTAAATAAAACTGCTCCTTTTTATCTACAAGAACTTATCAGTATATATAAACCAGGGAGAAACCTAAGATCATCGAACGATAACACCCTACTTGTGACACCTGTAAAATCATACAAATCATATGGAGAGAGATCTTTCTCATATCTTGGTCCATTTATGTGGAACAGATTACCCATGAAACTAAGACAAATAAGAACACTTGATAGCTTCAAAAGACATCTTAAACATTTTCTGTTCCTACAGGCCTATCCTTCATAAGCTTTTAACGTTATCTTTCATTACATTTGTTCTTTTCCTATGTCTGGATGAAAATAGTCTCTGTGTGTGTGTGTGTGTGTGTGTGTGTGTGTGTGTGTGTGTGTGTGCGTGTGTGTGTGTGTGTGTGTGTGTGTGTGCATTAATGTATATTGCTTGAGAAGAAAGGAAGTAGTAAGAAAGGTTTTTGAAAAATGGGTATTCCAATGTAAAGCGCATTGAGCTACTTTTTTTGGAAATGCGCTCTATAAATGTTATATATTATTATTATTATTATTATGTCTGAGCAGGCTGAGTTTATGATTGTACCACTTTGATATGAGGGTGTCTGAGAGATGGAGTTAATTTTTTGGGGTAATTCTTTGATTTAGAAAGATTTTTTTGTTTCCATTGTATTCATTCTCTCTTCGTATTTACTCAAATTCTTGTTCATGATAAGATAAGATTATAATTAGGTTATAATTCTTTGAACCAGCTGTACGCAACACATATGCCAACAGTCTCATTTGACTGGCCTTAGCTATCTCTCCAATTGAGTAAAGACTGATTTATAACCTCTAGTCATACTTGGTTGACTCAATGGTACAGAGAAAATCTTTGTTTGAATTTTTACTTTTTTCATTCTTTAAGATGAATTAAGTCTTTTAAAAAATGTATGTTGGTCAGTGGTACACTGTGGCGTGTTCATGTTGAGGTTTAATGCTAAAAAATTGTCTTTAGAATGTAGTTCTTGTTGTGCCCACATACTAAAGCTGTTTTAAAAAAAATAGTGTGTTCCAACATCAGCTCACATGATGAAGCTTTGGTAGCCGTACAGATACCTCGTGACGATTGCCATATATGTCTGAGCAGGCTGTGTTTATGATTTCACAACTTTGACTTGTCTGAGAGATGGGAGTTAATTTTTTAAAAAAATTATTAATTTAAAAAACAATTTTCACTTCCATTGTATTCATTCTCTCTTTGTATTTACCGAAATTCTCGCTCATTGCTGGTGTTAGGAATCAGCTGGTCTTAGTTTCCCATGGGATGTTATGAGTAAATATAAGATTGGTAGGTGTAATTGTGATTGTCATAAGTTTGTCATAAGGGTGTAATTCTTGCAACCAGCTGTACGCAACTCACATACCAACAGTCCAATACGACTGGCCTAAGTTAACTCTCCAATTAAGTAAAGACTGATTACAAACCTCTGAGCTTATTTGAAATGTAAATAATCAAAATCTATATTGTTTTGCATTTGCATCTCCATAACGCATAGTTGTTAAGTTTGTCCCAATGGTACAACGATAATTGTAGAGAACTGTTGTTTGAATTTTTACTCTTTTCTTTTTTTTTAAATGAATGAAGTTTAAAAAGAAAAAATGTATGGTGGTCAGTGTTACACAGTGTCATGTTGATGTTGAGGTTAAGTGGTCAAAAATTCTATTGAAAGCCCGCATACTAAATCTGTTTAAAAAAAAATAATGTGTTCCAACATCAGCTCACATGATGAAGCTATGGTAGCCGTACAGATACCCCATGACGATTGCCATATGTGTCTGAGCAGGCTGATTGAAGTATCACACAACTTTGACATGAGGGTGTTGGGGAGATGAAGTTGATTTTTCGTGGGTGATTTAAAAAAAATATAAATTTTATTTCCAATGTATTATTGTGATGGGATAAGATAATAATTAAATTATAATTCTTACAACCAGTTGTATACAACACACGTGCCTACAGTCAAGTGGCCTTAACTGACTCTCCAAGTGAATAAAGACTAATTTAGAATCATTTTTAAAAATGTATGACGGTCAGTGTTACACTGCTGAGGTTTTGTCATCAGAAAAGCTCTTGAGAGAATGTAGTTCTTGTTATGTCCACACTAAAGCTGATTGAAAAAATAGTGTGTTCCAACATCGGCTCACATGATGAAGCTATGGTAGCCGTACAGATACCTCGTGACGATTGCCATGTATGTCTGAGCAGGCTGAGTGTAGTATTGCACAACCTTGACATGAGGATGTTGGGGAGATGGGGTTCATTTTTCATGTGTGTTTTTTATTTTTCTAAACTTTTTTTTTTCCAGTGTGTTCTTTATTTTAAATTTTAGATATATAATATTGGTGTGTATCATTGTCACAAGGTATAGATAATAATTAAGTAATAATTCTTACAACCAGCTGCCTGCAACACACATGCAAACAGTTTAGTACTACTGACCTTAACTTACTCTCCAAGTGAATAAAGACTAATTTAGAACGATTTATAAAATGTATGATGGTCAGTGTTATACTATCATGTTCATGCTGAGGTTTTGTCATCAGAAAAGCTCTTGAGAGAATGTAGTTCTTGTTATGTCTTCATGCTAAAGCTGATTGAAAAAATAGTGTGTTCCAACATCAGCTCAAATGATGAAGCTATGGTAGCCGTACAGATACCTCGTGACGATTGCCATATGTGTCTGAGCAGGCTGAATGTACTATTGCACAAATTTGACCTGGCATACCAGGGTATTGGGGAGATGGTAGTTTTTGTTGTTATTTATTATTATTTTTTTTTACCATTTATTGTGTGTTCTCTTCACTTTCACCAAAATTTTTGTGTATTGCTGCTGTTAGGAATCAGCTGGTCTTAGTTCACTTTAGGTTTTATGAGTAGATAATATCAGTGTGTATTATTGTAATAGGATGATGTTGTACATATGATTAAGGTATAAATCCTGCAGCCAGGTGCGGTTTGTGATAGTTTTAGTCATTATTGCTTTTTCTGCTTGTCTGCAGACAACTTGTTGAGTGCTGCCCAGAGTTACCCTAGTCTAACAGCCTCCAATGTGCCTACCTCCAGTACCCTCACCACTACCCAGACAATGGTCAATGTGATGTCTCTGAGTCAGGTAACAGGCTTCAACTCTTATGAGATGTCAGCATTTATGCATGTTAAGGTCTCATTTTGAAAGGCTCTCTAAGTTGTCAACATTTTAGCACTTTGGAGCCTGGTCTTTGAAGGCATATTTCTTAGTGTCTTATTAAGCATCGTATCATAAAGTGTAGCAACCTGCACAATTTTTGGTTATAGTACATGTTTATAGGTGCAGGAAGATCTTGAGATTTAAAAAAAATGATTTGGAGCAGTTTGTGTGATATGTTCTAGAAGATATTAACATGTAATTAAGTTATAATTCTTTCAACCCGCTGTATGCAATACACCTGTCAGCAGTCTAGTATGACTGGCCTTAGGTAACTCTCCAAATGAGTGAAGATTGATTTAGAAACATTGGGGTCATTAGAAATGTAAGTATTTATGTCTCTATAGCAATACATCCATAACGCATAATTTTTCAGTTTGTTAAAGGAAATGGTATGAAGATTATGTAAAATTTTGTATTTATATCTTTATTCTTTAAGATTTCCATAGCTATTGTGGTTATTTGTACTGTTAGATTACTTGTTTATTACTGCTCATGCTCTGGAAACAAAAACCCCCCAACAAAACTGTTATGCCTGATGCTTTCATGACTATACTATGTAGATAACAATTTTAAACATGTACACTTAATAAGTAACCCTTTGTACCGCATTATCGTCTTTTTTTAAGGGGGGGGGGGGGGGGGGGGTGTGAAGCCACAAGTTCAAGTGGTGCTGCTTAAGCCACAGTGACTTCTTTATATTCATTTAGGTTGTATCTACTTAACCTATTGATGCATAAATCCAAGTATGAATGAAAATAGAATTTTGGTTGATGTTGTAAATGGGTAGGGGCTGCAATCATGCTCAGTACATTTTCACATCAACCTGATTTGTGTAGTTGTTTCGCCTGCAGGCCTTGACCAGGAGTGTAACGTCCACATCTAGCGAAAGCGACAACGAATTCTTGGAGACCTACAGGGCCCACACCCTCCTGGCCGACCTCGAGGATGATGAGGAGCTCCCTGAGCCTGATGACGATGACGATGAAAATGAGGATGAAAACGAAGATGATGAGGACTACGATGACGTCATGGTAAGTTTGTTTTTGTGTTTTGTGCACGGCACGAGAAGTGTCATGCTGGTAGTTAGTACTGATGTGCTGTCCAGGCTCGGGGAGTTAGTTTGTTTTGTAGTTCTTTATAGTCCAGTTTGAAAAAAGAGTGAATATATTTTTTATATGCTTGGCTATCGAAGATAATGGTTAGCAGACTAGACCCCGCTCCAGAAGCTGCACTATCGTCCTCTGTCTGGTCTTTCCATCCCGATATGTGTGTTATATTCCGTTGCTTTTTCTAATAAAACTAATCAGTGCATAAAATTTTGAAATGAGTCTTCACCTAATATTATTTGTTTGAATTAGCAACCACAACAGCAGCAAATGATTCTAGAGTAAAACTCATTGAGGGCTGTGGAATCGCTCTCATCATTAAGAATCTATGATGACACTATGGTAGCCGTACTGATCCAAATTGACGATTGCCATTACATGTCTGAGATTGTTTCACCCATGTCATTTATCAGTTTGTACTTGTGAATCTTTTATGTAACTTTAACTATCTGTTAAAGCAGGATTGCAAGTAAAAGATATTTATGTTTACCAATATTTTTTCTGCTCTTTATATGGACTATGGTTTGTAGCCTTTTAGTGAGCTCTCTTAAGTTCCTATGATTGTTACAGTCGTCTTGATCTGTTCTCCGTGATATGTTGTTGTGCGGACTTGCTGTAAACTAAACTCAGCCATATCAGCTTGTGATACAGCATTTAAGTGAAAATGTTTGCTCTGAGAATAGTCTGGAGGCATGAGTGAAACCATAATCATTTCGTATGTGTATATTGTTGGAAAGCTTCAGAGTTTGAGCAAGGTTTGGATGTTTTTGTCAACAGGAAGATGAGGAGCTGGAGCCCAGGGACAGAAGAACTTGGGACGATGAGTTTGTGTTGAAGCGACAATTTTCAGCTCTCATTCCGGCCTTTGATCCTCGCCCAGGACGGACGAATGTCAACCAGACTCAGGACTTTGACATTCCTGCTCCCGGTAAGTTTCACGTACAATCCAACCTGTTCAAGACGACCACTTTTGTCAAAGGCAATTCATCGCCTCAGAACTATTTTGTCCAAAGTGAACTTAAATAAAGATGCACTTTGGACAAAATAGTTCTGAGGGGATGAATTGTTGATACCTAAGACAGGTGATCCTCTTGGACAGTCATTATCATCTTCAAAAAATCCAAGGGGGGAAGTGGGAAGTGCTCATTTGTACAGGTGATTGTGGTGGATAGGTGGTCATTAGAGCAGGTTTGACTGTATATCATTTCTTTGAGCACATTGGTGTTCACATGTTAAAATTTTGCCTTCCTCATGTAGATGAAAGCAGTTTCTGTCTTAAAATGAGGAATTCCCTGTATTCGTCAGGGCATGCTCGTGCTGTAGTAGTGCTTGGAAGATGTTTGAAAACATGTTCTTTATATTGTTTGCTGGAGAAGGACTTGTCCCTTTTCTCTCACCTCATAAGTCACATCTATGATGACACTATGGTAGCCGTACTGACTGAAAGTGACGATTGCCTTACATGTCTGAGATTTGTAAATGTTGTAGTGTCACTGTCATTCTGAACAAGTGTACTGGTAGTGTGAATGGAAGTGAATTGGAATTGAAAGAGAAACGTATAATGAAGAAAATCACATGTTTATTCCTTTACATGGTGTCAGATGATTGGGGTAGATACCATTACATGTCAAAGGTAAAAAATGTGGAAGTTGACAATTTTATAGAAAGTTGTATTTTGTTAGTTCATACAGTTAATTAAACACGTTTTGCTGTTTTCTCAGGCACAGAGGAAACTGCAAGCAGTGAGAGTCAGGCCTTGGTGGCTCAGCCCAAACTTTGCCTCACCGTCAAAGCCCCTTGCTTGCCAGGCGTAAGTTATACGTTTTCTTATTACGATTTATTAACCTGAAATATAGTAATTTAAGTACTTTGTTTTTGTTGAGACCCTCTGATTTATTAGATTAAAAAAAAATGGATGTGCTGAAAGGGATAGAGCAAATGGAAAACTTGAGTTATCAATATTTTCACAAAGTATTTTTATTTATATTTTTTGTTTTCACTTAGTTTTGAACCATCTTGGATTGTCTTGTGCTATTTTTGTCTCTCATTTTATTCCAAAGATTTTTTATTTGTCTCAGTTTTATTTTGTCTCTAAATTCCCATCCGTTTGTTGCAGCTCTGGTTTGCAAAGTGAGTCATATGAAGTTGCAGCTTGGTTGTTCTGTACATTCATTTTAGGAAATGACTTAAAATGACATATTTTTCCAAATTCTTTCAGATGAGCGATGAAGATGTTGTCCTCAACAGTAGCAGAGCCTGCATATTCAAATTCATCCAAGAGCTCTTAGGTAAAGGTGCTGTCACAGGCCGGACGGAGAGGATGAAAAGGATTTGGGAGCCGACATACACGTAAGCTTTAATATTTGTTTAAGACAGTCAGTTGTCAGTGGAAATCATTGATATATTTTCTGTGGAAATAAGTCTGCACCCTATAAAGAAAAGGGTTGAATGTCCTTCAAATAAAAAAAAAAAAGTAAGGCATCAAATGTCCTTGAAAGAAGAAAATAAATACTGTCTCTTATTAGAGTACGTAGGTTGTACAATCATTAAACTTAATATAAGAACAATTCTATAACATAGAAATTAAGAAGTCGATATGGCAGCTAATAAGGGCACACTGAGACATCTAGAAATGAACTATTAGAATTGGGAATAGCTCTTGCAATTTCTTATTTTTGTGCAGATGAAACAAATGGAATAAGATTTTGTCAAGAAGACATTCGTGTGTTAAGACCCCAGTTTGTATGATGAAACTATGGTAGCCGTACTGATGACTATTGACGATTGCCATTTGTGTCTGACACTGGTTTAATACTATTACATTTTTTGTTTACTCTCCTTTGTGTGATTGTGCCATAGTCTTTTTGTTGTACTTGTGATTTATATCTGGAAGCATTGTACACTTTACTAAAGACTCAGCTGTTGTTTTCATTTTTTCCAGGGTGCAGTACAGAGAAGCCAAGGAAGAGGAAGTCTCGGAGAAGGAATGTGGCGGCTCTGTTACTAAGGTAGAGTGAGAAGAAAAGTCTCTGAAGCATCACACCTTTATGGATTAGCAATGCTCAGATGTATGTTTCACATTTTATTTTGATAAAAGTGTCATGTAGATGACCATTTTTAATGCAAGGTTCAAGCACTGTTTTCTGGTTTTCATCAACAGCCTTTTCTAAAAGAAAATTATAAATTATAAGACTTACTGAAGAAAGGGAATAGTACAGTGAGTGTAATTGTCACCTTTCTACTTGTAGTCAGTTTGTAAGAGACACTGTCTGACAACTTTTTCAGTACTAGCATCAAATGAATTAATGAAAATACCAGTCACAAAGTTCAAGCACTGCCCCTGAAATAGTTGTTTTCTCTTTGTGTATAGATTCTATTTCACGGGTTCACAGTTATTGTCAGAAAATTTGTTGTGAATGAAAAACTAAAGCCTCATGTTTCATGTGTTACTGTGTGATTCATGTTAAAAATTCTTTGTCTATCATACCAGTCTTTGATGGGTGTGGCCTCCCTGGCTGACCTTGACATTGCCCGTTGCTCTGAGGCCTCTGGCTGCTCTGTAGACAGTGTGCTGCAGCTGCTGCAGAGGCTTTATTCCATCATGGAACAGTCCAGTCCATCCAGTAAAAATGGTGAGTGAGAGAAAGCTGTGACTGTTTTACTTTTTTTTGCTCTGACACTCCCTCTTTAGCTCTCCAAACATTCTGTCCAGTTACCCTGTCTCTGCTTTCTCTTCCTCGCTCTCACCACGCTCTCTCCTTCTACCTCTGTAAGTTACACTTTGTCCTTTTGCTTTCTTACTCTTGCTTTCTCCTTTACCCTCCTCACTCTTTCTCCATCGCCTCTTTACAATTTCTTCTCCCTCACTTTGCACATTCTTTTTGGTCACCCCCCCCCCTTCTTTTTGGCCCCCCCTACACTTTCTCTCCGTTCCCCTTGTTACACTTTCTCCTCCCCCTCCCTTTCAGACACTGCGATGATGTAGATGCTTTTGCTTAGTTGTGTATGTTTATCACTCTGGGGTATTCTCCCCTCTTCACCATTGCCACCGAGCTTTGTTCTTTTGTTTTTAAAAAAATTATCTCATTGTGTCCTGTAATGGATGTATTAAAACCTTGAAGAAAAGGAAACAAGAAATCAGGTTATTCTTCAGATGTACCTCTACTTTTGGAAAGATCACCATCATCATCCATAGTTTATGCTTTCAGGTTAAATTTTCTTCTTTGCTATTTCTAGTATCAGTTTCAGAGGTCATTTGACACTTACATTGTTGATTGGTTTAAATGCCTAATTAGACTGAAATTTTTATTTTGTTTGCACATGTCTGCCATTTGGATAGGGATTTTTGCTAACATGTTTTTGTCCTCTTTTTTATCTGCAGATTGTGATGAAATTCACTTAAACATTCCAGCTGATGAGTTTGTCAGCAAGAAGATAACCAATAAAATCACTCAACAAATACAGGTGAAAAACTTTTTTTTTAAACGTTTGGTTAGAATTCTTTTTTTTTGGTATTAATTTTGTGAACTTTTGAGGCATACTTTTGTTTTGCTAAATCAAAAAAGAATGTAAGTCAAATTGGCAGGGGATATTGAATATTTGAGGATTGATACATTGTTCTGTGTCCCGTGAGAAAGGTTGCTGTATGCTAGAAGACATGCTAAGAATATTGGGAATCAAGATCTTTCTACTTATTCTGTATTGGTAGAACAGATTGACGCGGGTGTACTTGAAAAAAAAAAAAGTATGTTTGTGTTTGCAAGTAAAAGAGACAAAGGATTAGTTTTGTTATTTTGCTTATAAGGTATTATTGAAGACTTTGGTGTTCATATGGGCTAATGCAGCGTACTATCAATATTTCTTTATGTTTTGATCGAACCCGCCCCCTAAGACCTGATGGGAATGACTTGGGAACGGAAATGACCCAGAGATACTGAAAAAACCTGACCAGAATAAAAAGAATAATGTTGAAACAGTGGATTAAACGTATATGAACTGCTCTGTCTTAGAAAATTCAACTCACTGAGCTATAAATAACCATGTGTCCATGTACAATGAATGTTTTTTAGGATCCCCTGGTGCTAGCAAGTGGAGCTCTACCTGACTGGTGTGAGCACCTGACCCGATGGTGTCCCATGTTGTTCCCATTTGAGACAAGGCAGCTCTACTTCACTTGCACTGCCTTTGGCACCTCAAGGTAGGGAAATGTGGACAATTTACACCAGTTTTGAACAATTGTCTGTGGGAGGAGTGTTAATTTTTTTCTTCTTATTGTTGACTCCATGGAATGTTTTTTTAATTTACAATTTGCAACGTTGAGATTTTTTGTTCCAAAACAGTAAAAGGCTGATCAATGTGTGCAAATGTTTAACCTTTTCAGAATAAGTATTTTCTCTTTAAGTTGCCATATGCGTTTGAAAGTATGAGAAGATAATAGAATGATTGATTACTTTATGCTTTTGCCATTCTGTAATTATTTTGCTGAAGGTTGATATTCATGTGTTGTCGATCCGATTCCCCAGATCTATAGTCTGGCTTCAGAATAAACGTGATGCCAACCTAGAGAGAAACAGAGGGCCAACCCCAAGACGTGATGACAGCCATGATTTCCGAGTGGGACGTTTGAAGCATGAGAGGGTGGTGGTCCCTCGAAATGAGAACCTTTTAGACTGGGCCATGCAAGTGATGAAACACCACTGCGCTCGTAAAGCTGTTCTTGAGGTATGGACCTTTTTTGTTAAAAAAATTTATCTCATGTTTCTGTTGTTAACGTGACCATATTTTAGATAGTTGTAGTCTCCAACACACACCCCCCCCCCCCCCCCCCCCCCACACACACACACACCAAATAACTTCAGATTTTGTTTGGGTTCTCTTGGATACATGTTTATAAGGAATATCAGCCTATGAAGATTCTCAACTATTGTTTGTTGTTGTTTTGTGTTTTTGAACCAAGGGGAGCATTGCAGTTGTGATATCTGGCAATGACTTTAACATTTTAATTTGGTTACTTTTTTATTCTAAAGACGAAATAACCAAGGAAAAATTTTATTTTCTATTTCCATTGCAGATTGAGTTCAAGGGTGAGGAAGGCACAGGTCTGGGCCCTACCCTCGAGTTTTATGCTCTAGTTGCTGCCGAAATGCAGAAAAAAGCTCATGGACTCTGGTTATGTGATGATGATCATGTGGACCATATAGAACGTGAGGTGGGTGCTGTCTCAACTACTTCCTCCTGTTTTTGATGATTGGAAGCTTTTCTTGTCTGTTGTCTTATCTTTGTGTATAGAAGGAAGTTTTTCAGTTCAGTAATAAACACGCGTTCTCTGAAATACAGATTTAATTGAACAATTTCAGTTGCAAGCGTTGTTGAATAGAAGACACAGCATGAATTTAAGTGAATGAACGATTTGTTGAAGCAATGTTAGAAAGTGGTAATGAGGCTTTTGGAAAGAAAATTTGACATTTTGTTTTTGTATTGTATTTCTATGACGCAGAGTTCCTTTTCTTCCCTGTTTTCTTTTTTTCCATTTTTAAAATCGTCACTAGCATCTATCAGTATTAACTGTTGGCCTTTTCCTCGAATGCAGGTGGATATAGGCCACGGTACTAAACCACCCGGATATTATGTACAGCGATCTGCTGGTTTGTTCCCCGCCCCTTTCCCACAAGACAGCCTGGAGCTTGAGAGGTTGGAGAAAATCTTCCACTTCATGGGTGAGTTGTCGTTGAGCTGTAGATTTACATGAGCGGACACGCTCAGAACCATATGGTGCCAGGAATAGATTAGAAGGGTACGAGTTGCGTAAGGAAGTAGAAAAAAATAGATAGCTCTACACCATTCGCCTATGTTTCACTTCATGGAGAGGCACAAAATGTTAAATTAATGAAAATGGAGTGTTGTCACAGTACTTGGAGATAGCAATTTTAGCTACCTGTAATAGTTTTAAGAAAATTATAGACTTTCCCTTTGTATTTGCTATGTATTTAGATTACGGACAGCTGTTCTTTTGACCAAATGTTTCTGTTCTGTGTTGGGAGATCTAGCTTGGTCCAAATATGAGAGGAACCAAAAAAGGTTGTATTACTTTTTTTTAAAAAGTGACTCGGGAGTGCATGTGACACATATATTTCCCCACTCTCTTCCTGTTCCAGTTGATGATCGGTATTGCTTCTGAATGGTCCTTCCTATCTCTTTCCTGTTTCATTGTCCTATATATTTTGAAGTTTTTTTTTCTCTTTTTCTTTTTTGTTGGTCTCGGTAAGACTCAGCTCTTTAAAAATTTGTTTCTTTCGTTATGGTATTACTATCTTTTTTATAACTTAAACTAGCTGGGTATCCGTTTGACTCAAAAGAATCGATCGTCAAGTCATTGTGGAACCAGTGCGCACTGCTTGTGAATGGAAGCCTCACTTGTTTACAATGGCGACTTAGAGGACGGACTTTCCCAAGATTAGATTTACTAATAAAAAACTGAAAATTAAGCTGCAGTAACTTCAGACTCCTTAATATAACTGTGTACTCTTTAAATGATTCTGAAACACCATTAATTTGATCACATTTGAAAGTTTAGTAGGCGACCAAAGTGACGAACTTTCACAAATAAAATATATATAGATGACACAGTCAAGGTGAAATCCCATGTGTTACCATTCCAGGCATCCTGTTGGCTAAGTGCCTCCAAGACGGCCGTCTGATCGACATGCCTCTGTCCCGCCCATTCCTCAAGCTCATGTGTATGGGCGAGGTCGGACACAGCCTGTCCCAGCAGTTTGGCGATGCCACCCGCACCCCGAGCACGCTGGGAGAGTCGTGGCACAGTGAGAGCTCGGACCTCATTGCCAGCATCGAGGAGGTGGAGAAGGAGATGAAACTCGACAGTGATAGAAGACAGCTGGTGAGTGGCTGGAGGGTCGATGGTCCAGGAATAGTTATCATACGTTAGAAAAGCAGGTTTTTTACACTTTTAAAAATGTGTGTCTATGCTGAAACAAAGGCACTGAAACAAAGGCACTGCTCCTCATTTTCTTATTTTTACCCTCAGAAACTTTGTAATGTTGTTTCTTTTGTATCTGTAATGATTGAAATATCTAAAAAGGTAGGATAAAAGGGTGAACAAATAAGAATTCAATGTGATTTGTGTCATGAGTGAATAAGGGAGTGAAATAGCTGTTTTATTTTCCTGAGCAGACAATGGAAGTACATGAAAAAAAAGAAAGATCAGATACAAGATAATGTTCCAGATTGATGAAGTCATGACAAACTTGTTTAGAAAATCCACTTTGTGTATAGTTCAGGGGTCAATTTTTAGCATTATCATTACATGATTGAGCTGCTGTGGCTGGAAAGTTTTTGATGTAGTGATGTGTGGGTTGTATGTCTACGTTTTGTCTCCAGTGATGACAGTGCATAATTATTGCACCAGTGTGCGGCTGCAAGTGCGAGAAAATGTGGATATTCTACTCCCTGTTTTGCCCTCTGGTTTCTCCTGTTTTTTTTTCACTTCTTTTTTGGGCCTGTTTTATTCTACTTACGTACATATGCACTCATTTACATGTGTGTGTAGGTGGGTGGAGGGCAGAGGGTGCCACCTGTAGGTAATACTTCCTCTGCTGTTTTCTATCAGTCTTGCTTTTTTCCAAACACTAAATGACTGTTATTGTGTTGGTATACTTCTCTTTCCTCAACTAAAGTGCATGTCCGTTTTGTCCCTAGCTGAAACCATCCCAGCCATGGTTCTCTGGCATTCTGTCGGAAGAAGATTTTGAACTAGTCAACCCCCATCGTGCAGTATTCCTGCGCCAGCTGCGGGATCTCGCCACTCGCAAGCAGCGCATCCTGAAGGACCGGACTCTATCGGACGACCAGAAGAACGTCCAGCTGGCCGAGCTGGCTTTGCCCAACCCAGGGGACCCCAACTCTGCCATCAGGCTGGAGGATTTGGGGTGAGGAGTTTCTGCAGTCTCAGCTCCGGCTGGCTTTAGGGGAAAAATGAGGAAGGTGGTAGGGGTGGTGGAATGTGTAATACAGTTGAACCTGCTCTAACGGCCATCTACTCATTGCAAACACTGTACAAGCCCCCCCCCCCCCGTTTTTTTGGTTTTTTGAAACATTATTATGATACTGTCCCAGACATTCACCTGTTTAAGATTACTATTTTTCTGCTCGGCAATCAATGGTCGGCCGTTTTGGACAGATTTCACTGTTTGTTACGCTGTACACCAGTAGGACATGCAATCCCTCTTATGGTAACATCTGTGGGAGGATTTGCACTTGTGATGTTTATTTTGGCGTGTTCTTTACTTCTTCTCCTACATCATCATTGCTGGTGGTAGGAGGGCGCCACTTGTAGGTCCTACATCTTTACTTTCCCTCTCTTGTTTCTATTTGTCTGTCTTACTTTTTCTAAGCACTGAATGGCCATTATTGTGCCTATGTGTTTCTGTTAACTCGTAACTAAACAACTTCCTTTCAATCTGCTCTTACCTCTGCTCCAAGTACACTGTGTTTGAATTTAATTATTTGTGTCTTGTTGGTCGACTGTACGAAATGAAAATCCCAGTACTTATTAAAAAAACAACAAAAAAACCCTAGAAAAAGTGCTTGACATATTTTTTGCGTTGTGTCTGTTCAGATTAACCTTTGAGTTTGACCCATCGTCCCGAGTGCACAAGTTCCACGCTCACCACCTGAAGGCTGGGGGCGGCATGGAGGAGGTCACCATGGACAATGTGGAGGAGTACATCGATCTGGTCATGGACTTTTGCTTTGTCTCTGGTATCAGAAGACAGATGGAGGCTTTCAGAAGTAAGCTGGCTTGGTTTGTGTATTGAAAGAGAACTGAAGGCAGATACGTACTACGTACTGTGCTGCAACATATTGGATAAAAGAAAAATCATAAATTTACTTACTGCCTTGCTTGAACAAATAAAATTGAATGGAAGACATATATTTATTTACTCAATACCTTGCTTGAATGAACGGAAACTGTATTTTAATTGTCAAGAATGAAGTGGTTGAGCCTAGAAAGGTTTCTTTTAAAAGAGCAGGCGGAAAAGGCTAGGAAGTCGCATCACTACTCCAGTTGTTCAATGAAATCTGAGAGCAATACAAACAATATGAAAGCGATACATCTAGGGTATTTATACTCCTTCATGTGATGCAGACCTATATTATTTCCATCCAAATCAACTGCAGAGTCAATATGTATTCATGTGCAGAGTAGAGGGGGCTACTGATATGTTTTTGTCATCTACTCTCTCATGATGTTAATTTGATTTGTGTTGTCTTGTATTATGCAGGTGTGAAAGTATTTTGTTGTGTTTTTCTTTAAGTCTGGTGAACTGACAGAGATTTGATTTGTGGTAATGCATAGCTGTTGGGTTCTCTGATGTGGTTTGCTCCCTTCTGTTCCTATCAAAACATATAGTCCCTATCTCTCCTTTTCTTTGTATGTTGCTCTCTAGTAACAAACACCTCTACTCTGTGGCACTTGAATGACCTATTTGTGTGGCAAGTGCTGGAAAATTCCTACCAGAAATGTGAGTGGTTAGAGTGCACCACTGGTAGGTCACCTATTTCTTTTCTGTCTCTCTCTTGTTCCTTTTTCAATGCACTTCATGACTGCTATTGTGTCCATGTACTTCTCTTTACTCTAACTCAAGACTGGAGATTAAACTCCCACCTGTCGTTGTGTCTGTTCCCACAGGTGGCTTCAACCAGGTTTTCCCCATGGCCAAGCTTCACTCGTTCAGCCCCATGGAGCTGGGCAGCATCCTGTGTGGGGACCAGGCCCCCAGCTGGACACAGGAAGACATCCTGAACTACACAGAGCCCAAGCTGGGCTACACACGTGAGAGGTGAGATGGTACAGAGGTTTTTTTTTTCCAAAGAGATGGATGTTCTGAGTGTTGTTTCTGAATTCTGGATTTTTGTTTAACTCTCCTCTCGCCTCCAAAACGTTAAAAAAAAAGATAAGATCACATTGTGCATTCTTTTCTGGAATGTCTTTTAGGGTGACATATACTAAGGTATGCAGATAATACAAAGTAATAGTTTTGATGGATAAGATTTCAATTATACAATGAGTAGGCTATGTGGGCTGAAAAATATTTTCTCATTAAACGAAAGTTAGCTTTTTTTTCGCAGTAAAGAACGTTGTTTTGTTTCTCGGCGAATCTATGATTAAGCGTATACAGAGTTTATTATTGTTTACGACTAATGCTAGTATTTGTATATAAACACTTTTGTTATTAAACTCTGCCAATGTGTGTGTTCATTGTTTCAGCCCTGGCTTTGTGCGCTTTGTGAACGTGCTCACCCACCTGTCCCCTGACGAGCGCAAAGCGTTCCTGCAGTTCACCACGGGATGCTCGTCCTTACCACCTGGCGGCCTGGCCAACCTGCATCCTCGACTCACCGTGGTCAGAAAGGTAACCTTGACCTGGCGCATTTGCTTATTGATCTGTGCTGTGGGTGGTTGGAAGGGGCTCTGATGATGTTGTCGTTTGTCCGCTACTGACTTAAAAAAATTCTTGAGCTTGGTTTTTATGTGGGTGTTCTGTGACCACTCCAGCATGGTTGTCTCTCACTACTACTTTATGTCAGTGTTGCTTATATCCTGATTGGTTCTTAGATGGGCAAGTGGGTGGTTAGCAGGTGCTCTGGTGTAGTCCTTATTTCTTATCAAACATCTGTCGTCTTTATCTCTCCTTTATTTTTGTATGTTACTCTCTAGTAATACCTCTAATTCTGCACATCCATTATCCTTTTCTCTCCCCATTTTGTACTTCTGGCTGTGTTACTGCAAAGTGTTAAGAGCGCCTGTTGGTGAATCATGATCACTGCCCCTTTTTTCAGATTGGACACTTGAAGAATAATTGAAGAAGAAAAAGGTTACGTATCAGGTGACACTGTATCTCATGAATTGATTAATTTTATACTCCTTCCTGTGAAGAGTTCATATGATTGTGAAGAGTTCATATGATTGAGAGTCATTGGCCATATGTGTGAGTGGTTGGTGGGTGCTCTGCTCCTTTCCGATTAAACATCCATTATCCTTTTCTCTCCCCTTTCATTTTTGTGTTTGTTACTCTCGTGTAACATCTCTAATCCTTAGCACTTGAATAACTTTATTATGTTGCAAGTGCTGTAAAAACTCTCACTAAAACTTTGATATTATGTCTTTGCTTTGGAAACATTCCAGGTGGATGGTAGTGATGGCAGTTTCCCGTCGGTGAACACATGTGTGCATTACCTCAAACTGCCGGAGTACTCGTCTGAGGAAATCCTGAGGGAACGCTTGCTGGCCGCCACCAGGGAGAAAGGCTTCCACCTTAACTAAGTTGCCTTTGTTGGCCTCCGTCCTTCCATGGCTTGGGTTTGCATCCTGACCGTGGACTCTACTGCAGAAACTTGTCAAATTGAAACATTTATTCATTTATTTCATGTCTTTTTCTTTTCCCCGTTCTTTTAAGTTTCTCTTTAGTGTTGTCAGTTTATACCTATTAACTGTATGTATGACCGTGAGTTTCTTTCTTTTTTTCCCTTTCTTTTAAATTACAGTATCATTTTCAAGTCTTTTTACCCAGTCTAACATTTTGTTAAATTTTTCTTTTAAGATGTGCCCAATGATATTGAACCAGGTGATTTCTTGGCTGTATATTTTAAGTTTGCTAATATTAAAGCTGTCAAGTAGCCCAGCAGTGGTGGCGAAAGTGGAGCTTTATTTGCTGCTAAGTATATTCTATTTTACTGCCTTTGAGCAGTGTTCAAGAGCTTTCATTACAACAGCTGGTGACCCACTTTTGGTTTATGATTTATTCTGCTGTCAGCAAAATCTTTTCCGTGTGTAGCCTGGGTATGTCTTGAGTATTTTTTAACTGAGTTTTAAAAAAATGCACTTTTAAGAGGGGAAAAGTGAAATGTTATATAGTAGTTTGTGCTGTAGAATTGCTTGGGTGTGTTTTTAAGAAACTGTTAGAATGAAAATTTGTCTTTCTTTTTGTGTATATCAGACACTTGTGAGAATAGTTATGGACTTATTTGGTGACTTAATATGTTTCTCACAGTGTGATGAATAATTTCCATGAGTTCATTTCTCTTTAACTTTTTGTTTTGAATCTGGAAAATTATATTAAAGAACAAAAGATCCATCCATCATTATTGCTTTCATTTTTAGATGAATTCAACAATTTTTTAAAGAATATTTTCTGGCCGAAATTCTGTAAGACTTGTAGAAAAATGCAAAATTTAGATGAAAGGAACTTGTTATACAACAGTCTAATTGAAGCCTAGATTTCACCGTTGGCCTGTAACTTGTGATCTTTAAATTTTGACTGTTTTATCATTTCATAGCTGCATCTTTATGTAGTCTGAACTCTTGCGTCTTCATGCCCAAGTTGTTAATATTTGCTGACTGGCAGTGGCTTGATGAATGCTTTCAGTAGACTCACTGAGTGTCCACAGTTTTTGACAAAATGACATGTAGTTTGTTTGGTAGCCTCCATCTTTTATTGTTTGTTTGTTCACATCGGTTGACTGCAATGGTTCGTCTTTGCGATGTCTCATCAAACTTCAAACCATTTTGAATGATGGTTGGAATATCTTTCTTTTTTTTTTTTGTGGGTGTTTAGTAGTTCTAGTAAATGCTAATTTGTAATTTCTTTTCGTCATCGTGTAGTTTTGTGAAGTTGAGTCTTTTCAGCTTCGTTGAAACAGTAACTCTGTCATTATTTGGTATGAAATCTGATAAAAAAAGAGTTGTTGTAGTCAGGAAATGTTACTGCTATTTGTATGAAAGAAAAAAGTGCTTTATATTTGGTATATATTTCTATAAAAGTCCTTTTTTTTGTAGTCTCCAGAGTTTGATTTTGACCCCACTAACCACCAGAGTACAATACAAAGTAAGGTTTTTATTTGTCTGGCATACTTGGATGTCATTGTAAACACCCTTGCATGTGGCCTTAGACCATGTCCATACTTTGTGGCAATACAGTTACTGAGAAATTAAAAGTAGATGATGATGTATTAAACAATATTAACCAGTGGAAGCGAACTGTGAATAATCATGTACATAAATGAAATTGAAGGGAGCATTGTAGTAAGTTCATGCCTCTTTGCTTGTGTTGTATATAGTTCCCATATAGTGAGTGCCCCGAAAACCCAGTGTGTTGTGTGTTAAGCAGAACATTTACATAGGAAGACTGAAGGACAGTTGCTACTTTGGAGATTATTGAAAATCTCCCCCCATATATCCCGTTGTCCTAACTGTGCAGCCTTTTTTTTCCTTCTTTGTAACCAGTGTAGTTAACATGGGGAACAGGACTGAAGTTCTTGTAATGTTGTAGTTCTAGCAAGTGTAAGTCTTGTTTTGTAAGATCAGAGCATCATAGTGTACAAAGTTTTAAAGACAGTTTTTAAAAATCCAGTTCAAATTAGTCAGATGGCCCGTTAGATGTAGCTTTTGTATTCTAACATTTTTATAAGTATTTGATAACTTCAAGATATTGAAAGGCATTCCTAATAATGGGTTGAAAGGCATTTCTTTTTAAAAAAGCATTTTATTAAAAATCTTTTTCTCAAATGCAACCGTTTCAAAGTAGAAGCTTAGATTTAATGTGTTGGGTTGATTTTTCGCAACCATTTTACAAGAATTGTGGGATAAGTCTGGCATTAGCCCTAGCTAGTCCTTCATACATAAGAGCTGGAGATCACAAAGTCACTTCTGTGGCACATGCTTGTAATGAGTAGAGACATCACACTGTACTACCATCCTTTGTTGCTTAAGTCACCAATTTTTATTCAGCTATCAACTGCAACTGATAATGTGTCCATAGATACTCAAACATAAGCGAGCACATGCACCCATACACATATAAACAAAACATATTCTCACTCTTAGTCTGGAGTACTTTCTCACATTTGCGTGAACGCAGCACGCATACACGTTTTGATGTTTTTGGAAGACAAACTGCTGTGTGATTGGTTCCATGAGCTTTGAACGTGACGATATTGGCACACTGCCCTTGTGTTTTAACAAGCGTTATTCTTACGTTCTTTCGGCTTTTTTTTTTTTTTGGTGGTTGCAGATTTGAACTCCCGTAACAGTGTATTTGAATCCAACTGGAAATTTGTTCCTTTCATATTGTTGTGTTGACATTTTACGTGGCTCACATAAATGCTGATAGATAGATCGTGATGACAAAGTGTACCCATTAGCTTGTGGCAAAGATTCTCCAGGTCTTGTTCATCTGGCACAAGAGCACATTCTGTCCTTCCTAGCATTATACTGGCCGTGATAAATGTACATGTATTTTTGTTTGTATATGGTCTGCAAAGCAAACTTAAAAATAAAATTAACATCAAATATGTGGATTGTTTTGATATATATTTACTGTTGTTCAGTCACTGAGAAAGATAGTGTATTTGCTGTTTTGGTGTTCGTTTTATGTTGTGTGAATTCTTTTTTTGACTTATTAATTTATTAAGCCACTCGTCGCTCATCTCACAAAAGGGCATATCGTCAAAATTACCGGTTTTGAGTTAACACCACCATAGTATGTCGGGTAGTGAGATCTATGTTCTCTCAAAACGGCGTATGGATAGCTTTAAAAATGGCAGAGTTATGAGCAAAAAACATTTAGCCCTATAGCTCTCGGGCAGGAAACTGCATCTCACATAGAGGTCTATGCCTTGTTACGCCCCTTTCTGAGAATATATGCTGAGGCATATGACTGCATACGCCATGGTATGAGATGTTTCCTTTTAGGTTTTTTTAACTTGAAAATGAGGGGGATGTGTCTCATTTCATGTTTAGTAGTCTTGCGGATTCTTTCTCGCTGCATCATTGAGGGACTTTTATACGCCTCCTTACCATTAGTTCAAGTAGACACGTGTTGTTTTGGTACCTGTACTTAAAATTTCATCCTTGCTTTCAGCGTTTGATGTTAATGCACCCGTAAAGTGATAGTATATTAGCTCATTTGTAAGCTTATAAACTTTCACTTTTTAAAATATTTTCTACTAGTAAAAGTTTTATTTAGGAATTCGGTCCATGAGTCCCCAAAGATGTAGTATTGCAGAAAGTTCTGATTATATTGACGATTTAGATGCAGACCTGTCTTTCAAACCTGGTTTCTGTGTCATGCAAGAAGGACATATTTGCTGCTTGTGCAAGGTGTGTATAGCTCCTGTGCTATACATACTTTGTGGAAGAAACGGGCTCATTGTAGTCTTTAAAAAAAAGCCACATAGCATCGTAAGTAGAAAACGGATAAACCCAGAAGAGAATAACTCTTTTGTCGTTGGATATTGTACTCAACCCGAAAATTTCATGGTAGAAGGTGCTGTCAAGGATGTGACTGCTCAAAATTGAAAGGTCCACTGTCCAATAAATATAAAGAAACTAACCACAAAGGACATTTTGGAGAGGAGTTCCTTAGCCCTACAACTCAAATACATTTTGGCGCGCACAGGATTTGAGACAGGTATGAATTTGAAAGCTATGAGAAATATGGTCGAAGCTGTCACACTATTGCGAATGAAACACACGAGGAAATGTTCCAGCAACATTACAGACTTGGAGACCATCACCTACAATGTGAATTCGTTGTTGGTCTCATTGACTGCTCTGAATCTATGTAAGGGACGAGCTGTTCTCGCGGACAGAAGACCAATACATATTACTTGACTGTCGATGGAATACCGCCAACTGTAAGACAACATCAGCTGAAAATATTGGAGTAGAACAAAGAGGATGATGATGCCCAGCAACTGTCAAAGAAAGAGATGAAAAACTTCCTACCCTTATTAATGCTCATATTGCGAGGTTCACCGCTGTTGACTCGCATCACTACTGTAGGTCAGTTTCTAGTTAAAAGGACTTGCTCTCAAACCTGAACTGAAGAGGAAAAGCCAAAGTGAGAAAACTTAAAGAAGAGATGCTTTCAGCTGCAATATAATCACAAACTGAAGTGATATTATGGAACAGACTCAACAGAGACTATTCAATAACTATTTATTTCCTACAAACCCACAGTACCAAACAGTGATCTTTAAGCCCCAGAAAAATCAAGTCAAAGACGTTCCATTGAACAGCTGTAAGAAACTCCCACGTATAGCAAAGTACATTTTTCATCAGACTGGAGGAACACACAATGTTCTTCTAACTCCACCACATTATGTAACTTATAACAGGCTACCACTTGCACTGTGTTTTCGCATTGAAGTGCCTTTCCAGATCATTTTAATCTTCCTTAACAAACACTTGCACAATATTTCATTGATAAACAGAGTATTGTGGGCTGAAACGTTTATAAGGTATTACACAAATTCATTACACATGCTTAGAATTTATCTTCCTACTAATATTGTTGTTGTCTAAGCATAGCTGCCACTTTCCCGCTAAATAGCGGAAACTCCGCTACATCTAGCGTTTCCCTCAACTTTCCTCCTTCCTCTGGGTCGCAAATTTCATACTTTTTTTTTTCCACGCGGAAAACAACGAACCGGGAGAGAGACGAAAACGCGGTTCGCGCATGTCCGCCCGTAGCTTTCTACTTCCGTTCTTCTAGGCCCAGCGCTAATTTCACATTGTTTATTGTTGTGGAGCAACACAGTGTCAATCGGGCATCGGGACGTTAGCGCGCCGAGTTGTCATTGAAATTGGCGGAAATTCGAGAGAAATTGATTCAGAATGCAAAAATAAAAGGAGCTGGAATGAGAAAGAAGCAGCCGGTGTGCGACTTGAAAAGTTCATTAGAAAATTGAACTAGATCTAGATCTAGATATATATCTAGCCGTTTTTTGCGAAAGAAATCGCGGCCCGCGGCACTCCTGTGCCTGTACAATTGCGGTCCCGTTTGTTTACATGATGACGGCTATTGTGGCTGCTGCGGAAGTGAATCTAGATCTAGATCTAGAAAATCTATCTCTAGATATAATCTAGATCTAAACATATTTAGATATATCTAGATCTAGATCTAGATTAGATAGCCTAGGCTATAATTTTAATTCAGTTTATCTCTAAATAAGAAACACACTACAGGGGCACTAAGTGCAAACGGGACCGCCATTGTACAGGAGTGCCTGCATCCTTGGTCCGATACTGCTCTACGTCTATGTATGTGCACGTTTAAAGTGAAAGAAATCTTTTTATGAGACACCAGCTGGCAAAAAACACTAGATTTTTAGTCACCAAGTCCAGACTGTCAAATTGACTCGAATGCTTGTAAGTCAACTTACTGCCTTTATGTTTTTGTTTTTTTTTGTTTTTTTTTTCAAATACATTTTAATTCAGTTGCCTATGGTTAACAATATGACAGCTTTCCCTTCCAAAACCGTAGGCTAGATTTTCCAGTATATATTGCCTCTGGATCTCACTGGTTTCGGAGAGCGCGCGTACGCCTTCGCGCGAATTTCCTCCTTTTTATAAATTTCTGAGTGGCAGCTATGTCTAAGGCGCAGTCCTGAATGAAAGGATCTGTGCAGTACTAGTACAAGATCTGGTAATTTTATACTCATTGTATTGTGCAAATTCTACATAATACCTTGAAGACAAGTAAGAAAGTTTCACTCATTAAGTTATTTACATTTCATATCGTGGAGACCCCAAATCTGCTTCATTTTCTTTTTCTTGTTGTTTTTCACTCAAGAAAATAGATCAATTTAGCATATTGAGTTGATGAACCTGTTCAATAATCAAGAAAACAATCCCTTTTCTCTTATATTCTATTACCAAACGATGTAGCTATTCAATCTTGTGTCTTTACGGACATAATTATATTCTCACAGACAGGCGTATCAGCTATTTTAGACCATTTCTTTAAAACTAATTTCGCATTATCTATCCGTGATAGGGAATGATAAACCGGTGGTTGTACTAATATCTTGCCAAAAATTTTAACGAAAAAGCAAATGGTTATGTCACAGCAAGAATTTAAAGTGTCCAAAACTTTGAAACGTTCTCCTAAAAAAAGACCAAAATGCTCTTACGCCCTTTTGTGAGATGGACAACGCACTGCATGCCAGTGGTTGGTTGGCAGTTGCTCTGGTGTGGTTTGCTACTTTTTCCGTATCAAACATCTTTTTCCTGATCTCACCCACTTCTTTACCTTCGGTCTGTTGTTTCTGTCTGTCTGTCTTACTTTTCCCCAGCAATAAATGACCACTATTGTGTCGATGTGCTTCTCTTTACCCAAACAAACAAACAAACTAAACGAATCTCTGATAGGTCTTTCTTTTCTTTGGCTTGTTTATGGCGTGTTCTGGACATACTTGCTACTTGGCTCTGTCTTGAAAATGGACTTTGAAGTAGAGATTCTCCTTTAGACAACCGTGCATACCACACAAAAGTCAAGATGTGGTCAAAAGGGCAGAAAATATAATTTGTTCTGGAGTATTTTTCTGTGTGGTACGTAAAAACCCAGCCAAGTGTGTAGCATCATTGTGGGTGGTTGGCGGGTACTCTGGTGTGATTTGCTCCTTCATTACTAACAAACATCTGTCGTCATGACCCAATCTCCTTTTTTTTTTCGTTTGTTACTCCTTTATAACACCTCTAATTTTTGGCACTTATATGACCTTATTGTGTTGCAAGTGCCGTAAAACGCTTACTAAAACACAAAGTAATATCATTCACCCGGAGCATTGAAGGGCTCACTCACAGATATCGTCCCTTCAGATCGAACAATGAGATGAAAGGGTTAAGGTTAGCGCCCCTTTCCGCCCCCCCCCCTTTAGAAAAGACACCCACCCCCCTAAAAACAAATAATCCCGGGGAAAAAATGCCAACGAAGCTACTGCCAAAATCAGCCATAAGCAATAAAAGAAAAAAAACAAATAAACCCAACAAAATGCATGTACGAGAACCCAACAACAAAACAAAAAGTATTGACAACAAAAAGGACTAAAAAAGAAGAGGGTATTGACCTACAAATAATATAGGCAGGCAACAATGTCCATGTATCTAGTGAGTGGTTCGGTTTAAGTTCATGAGTAGTGTAAGATCCAACAATTGACACTGAACTTTGTGCTGCAGTTGCTTTGGGTTCTCGTCAGACATTCGTGGCCGGGACCGGCGTCTCCGATGTAGCAACAAGGCGTTTAGCAATCGCACACAGTAGACCCGAGTTCGATTCCCGAGTGGGAAGATTTTTTATTGAGTATCTTAGCCTCTCTGCGGGACTGCGGGGACACAATGTTCTATACTTCTCAGTATCGGTTGGCTCTGACAGGCAGGGTCGAAGCCCGTCTCTTGAATGACATAACTTGTGTCTATGGGTGCTTTTTGTTTTTGTTTGTTTTTGTAAAGTGTTTTACGGCGCTCGTAACTGCATAAGGTCATATGAGCGCACGGGACACACCTTATATTTTCAGTTGGTAGGAAATTTTGAATTTTGCCCGGGTGGCGGCCGAAGCCTACTCTTATCGATTTTAGACCACCAAGGGATCTTTAACGTGCGCAACTTGCACATGGGCCCTCCGGGATTTTTCGCCCTTGTCCGAGAAGGCAAGGTGTAGATCTTTCCTACCAGAAGATCAGGGGTGTGGCAGAGAGACAGCAGTAAGGAGGAGCCAAAGAGTAGCAGTAGAAAGGCTGCAGAAAGAGTCAGGAGCCCAGAGGAGGGGGCAAAGGAGGTGAGGGGGTGGGGGCAGAAAGTGGAAATGAAAGCAGACAACAGAACATTGCTAGAGAGCAGGAAAGGAGGTGAAAGGAGACAATTTTAGAGAAGAAAATTTTTCGGTCGCTACACGGATGCGAACCCGGGACATTTTGAATGAGAGGCCAACACCTTAACCTCTAGGCCATGAGAGCCCCGTAAAAGACGGTCAAAGCACCTAAAAGACGTTCATGCAAAACAGTTTTTTATTGATAAATTACCGGTACATGTAATAACTGTATTTCAATGTTTTTCAATTAATCTTCTCGTCCCGTACTAATTTTTCTCATCTTCTATTCACGCATTCCTGCCTTTCTCTCTCTCTCTCTCTCTCTCTCTCTCTCTCTCTCTCTCTCTCTCTCTCTCTCTCTCTCTCTCTCTCTCTCTCTCTCGCTCTTTCTTTTCCTCCATCATCCAGACATATCACCCTTCACCCCTTCTTCTGTCTGTCTGTCTGTCTGTCGAACACACATAGGCACACACGCACATATGCACGGACAGCATAGCATTAGTGACAAAAGTGCTTCTTCATCATGAACTTTTAAATAATTTGTACATTTACCATACTTTATTTTTCAAGCACACTTCGACTCACCCCCCCCCCCTCACGCACGAACACACACACACACACACACTCACAGACACATACACAGACAGACACACACACACACACACACACACACACACACACACACACACACACACACACACGCACACACACACACACACAAGTATACATCCAAGGACATATAACATGTGAAGATCTATTTCATTTTCATATGACTAAAGTGACATAGTCTGAAACAACCTCATTGGACGCAATGCAATTCGCCCCGCATTACGCCACAGCCATACCTGTGGAAAGTTTGATCCTTAACTCGCCCTACGTTTGTAATCGAATAGTTTAAAAATGTGGTTTGCTCCTTCTTTCCTAAAAAAAAAAATCTGTCTCCCCTCCTTTTTGTGTTTGTTACTCTTTTGTAACACCTTTAATCTTCGGCACTTATATGACCTTATTGTGTTGCAAGTGCCGTAAAACACTTACTAAAACTAAAAGGTTCAAATATAAATCCCTTCCCCAAGTATATGTAATTTAGCCGTTCCTTTCTTTCTCTTTCCCCGTCTGTTCCATTTGAAGGCTTCGTGGGTCGTATTTATTTTCAGTTTTCTAAAAGAAACTTATCTGATAGTTTTTATGAACGATTGAAATTCCCATTATTTCGCTCTACCGGCTACCCCCCGGATGATGTTACTGACACCATGGCACACAGCAGAAGAATCACGCCATTGTACGAGAATTGCAAATGCGAACTGTTCATCTCTTTTCTTGAATATTGACTTTCGAGATCCTTCCAGTATCCCCGAGAGTACCTAGTGTTTATGAATTCAAATGATATACAGTGTGCCTTGTTGTGTCGAACTAATAATAGCTCGTTCGCCAATGTATGACAACGTCCAACGCATCTGCAGAGTATAATGTTTCTTGGAGAGAAATAAAAGAAATGAGGATTTCGATGATGTGTGGCTTCTGCCATGGTCAACGTGACCAATTCTGGCAGAGACGAGTTTGTCACAAATAATTGAGCATTTAAAAGCTTCCTGTGGGTTTCTCACCTGGATTCAGCATTTCTACCCCGTGAAGCCTCATGCTACAAAAAAACAGCAACCACAAAATAGAAGGTACAGTACTGGGTAGAACTAACAAACAGCAAGTTATATTGTTCAAGCCGTAGGAAGCTTGAAACGGAGGGACTGAGTTTACGATCTTACCGTCGTATATTTCTTCACTCCCCCCCCTCCTTTGTTGTTTGTTTCAAATGTTCGTCTTTCTTTTTCCCAACACAATACTATGATGACCTTTTTTGTTATGTTGATATGTTTCTCTTTACACACTCTCAAGAAACTGTTAGCGGTCCCTGCGCGATCTCCGAGACGGAATGCTGAAACGATGTTCCACTAGTGAGCAAAACACTCAAACCACGCATACATACATACACACACACACACACATACATACATACATACATACATACATACCCACCCACCCACACACACACATACATACATACATACATACATACATA